GTAGCACTGAAAATTATGTCACACAACTTACAGGTTTATACAAGCTTTAATAATCCAAAGTATGTACAAAAGACAATTTACTATTCCAAATGTTCAGTTTGTTCAGTCCACAACATCTCATCATTTTCAGCCCCAAAAGAACTAAAGGAAACAAAATTGCACACTCTCCAGTATTAAGCTCAAGACCTTTTTAAATTTGTTAATGATTCTCTTGTAATATGCGTCTTAACACATCAAAGAAGAATGGAACATGCAAGTTATTGTCTCACCTGTACAAACTCTTCACTTTACTGTGTCTTCTGGTTTGCTGAGCCCGCCAGCTCTTGTCTGGTTTGGTTTGGTTTTCCATCATCACAGGTTTCTCCCAGTCAGGACAGGAACACACCTAATGTTGTAAAGAATAGTGTGTTATCCAAAAAACATTCCCACGCAACATTGCATGACTCTAAAACAGAATGATAAAATTCGTCATACGAACGGAAAGCTTAGAGTGTTTTAAATTTTTAGGTGTTACTGGTGGCATGTCATGCCTCTTACTTATGACCTAGAAACAAAAGAGACAAAAATTACTTAATACAATGTATATAAAATAAGTCGTAAACCATTATCTCACCTGTACAAACTCTTCACTTCAGTGTGTCTTGGTTTGCTTAACACTCATCTCGTCTGGTTTGGACAGGTTTCTCCCAGTCAGGACAGGAACATCAGGACACTATGAATGAACGTAAAAAGAAAGTGAAATTATTAAAAAGCAATTAGGGTGTTTTAAAGATGTTACTGGCAGTATGTCATGTCTTGGAGTTCATAACACACCAAAGAAAGTATGAAAAAGGAACATGACAATGATTGAAGATTACAGCACAATGTCTCACCTTTACAAACTCTTCACTTCACAGGTGTCATTTGGTCTGGTTCAGACAGAAGTCACCCGTCATCACAGGTTTCTCCCTGTCATCACAGGAACATCAAGACACCTACGCATGAAAACATAATTAATGCAAAGCAACAACGATCAACCAGCTAAATACAATCAACACTTGCATGTACCCTAATTTGAATGTATACATTTCTTCTTTTCTGACAGGCATTATAGCAAAAATGAATGTTTCACTCAAAGTAATTTGAGAAACTAGATCCCCTAATTTATCCTATGTGAGTTCATCCTCATAATATTCACAACAAAGAAAACCAGTGAAAATACTTAGTCGTCTATGTATGTTGGCTGTCTATACTTGCACCCTTACTGAAATTACATATGTTATGAAATACATAATCTTTTTTACCTGTACATGTTTCATGTTTATATCCTTCAGTGCCTTCATCTGGTCTGGTCTGTACAGGAGCTGATGGACATCATCACAGGTTTCTCCCAGTCAGGACAGGAACATCAGGACACAACAGTACTGAATATCATAGGAATACTTAGTGTGATGCCAAAGAATATTTCCATAACATGTTACAGCAGACTCTCAGGACTACAAAGATGTGTAGCCTTTGTGTGAAAGAATAATTAGTGTGATACAAAAAAGAATCTCCAGGCAATGCCGAATGAACATAAAAGCTAATAATATCATAAAATTGAACAATTCATATGCTTGAATAGATGTACACTGTAGGAGGTGTTAGGCTATAGAAAGGTGTTTTAAACTTAAAACCTGTTTCTGGTCATGGTAGTGTGTCGTGATGATCATGTGTGTTGTAAAGTTGCAGAGTGTTAGAACCAGATCAATTTTGTAAAGCATCATCTCACCTGTGGATGCTGTCATCTTGCTCTTGGGTCTTCAAATCACCAGGTCTGGTCTGGTCCAGTCTTCTCTTGTCAGGTTCAGACAGGAGTCACCATCAGCCAGCAGCCACCAAACTATACAACATTATATGTTACACACCTGTCTCATTAATAACATGAAGTAAATGGCAAGTAAAATACAGAAATCAGATTTATCTCACCTTATATCCTCTTGGGTCTTCAAATCACCAGGTCTGGTCTGGTCCAATCTTCTCTTGTCAAGTCCAGACAGGAGTCACCATCAGTCAGCAGACACCTATACAACATTTTATGTTACACACCTGTCTCAAATAACACCAAGTAAATGGCAAGTAAAATACAGAAATCAGATTTTTCTCACCTTATATCCTCTTGGGTCTTTAAATCACCAGGCTTAGTCTGGTCCAGTCTTCTCTTGTCAAGTCCAGACAGGAGTCACCATCAGTCAGCAGACACCTATACAACATTATATGTTACACACCTGTCTTAAATAACAACAAGTAAATGGTAGGTAAAATGCAGAAATCAGATTTTTCTCACCTCATTATACCTCGTGTCTTCAAATCACCAGGTCCAGTCTGGTCCAGTCTTCTCTTGTCAGGTTCAGACAGGAGTCACCATCAGTCTGCAGCCACCTAACTGTACAACATTATATGTTACATATTTGTTTAAAAACACCAAGTATAAATGGTACATAAATTGCAGAATTCAAGTTTCCTCACCAGATATTCCTCTGGGGTCACTTCAAATCACCAGGTTTGGTCTGGTCTTCAGGTGCAGACAGGAATCACCATCAGTCAGCAGCCACCTAACTATACAACATTATAAGTTACATATTCGTTTAAAAACACACCAGGTAAATGGTAAGTAAATTGCAGAATTCAAGTTTCCTCACCAGATATTCCTCTGGGGTCTTCAGGTGCAGACAGGAATCACCATCAGTTAGCAGCCACCTAACTTAATAATACGTGTACATATTTGTTTAAAAATACCAAGTATAAGTGGTAAGTAAATTGTATAATGCAGATTTTCCTTGCCTGATATTCTTCTGGGGTCTTCAAATCACCTGGTCAGCTTTAGACAGGAGACATCACTACTGCATCAGTCAGCAGACACCTAACTATACAACATTGTAAGTTACACACTTGACCTATGAAATGGCAAGTACAACAATTCAGATTTTTCTCACCTGGCTTAATACTTGTGTATCCGATCATCTGGTAATTCTGTCACAAGTCTCATCTCATCACTACAGGACAGAAACACCTGCACAGTTATCTGACCCTCAGGACACAGATAACTTTGTCATTCTATGGAAATATCTACAGGTCCTTAATAGCCCTGTTACACATTGTAGGCATGTGAATAAAATACTGAACAAATCCGAGCAACTAGATATCTGAATTTTTAAGAATTGATTTCAGAAAATACTGGTTGCTATTAAAACAGTGTATGCTATTCATTCCTAAAGAGCTGTGATAAAAACAAGTTTGTAAATTTCATTACTTTAAACAACAACTCCACAAAAACTACACATAGTGACTGCATTAAACATGGATAGTAACAATTGAAAAATTATACCACTTTAACTACTGACGCTGCACAGGCAAAATCCAAATACAATGTATCTTGGTCAAAGTGTTTTGGAAACCGTCAGTAGTCAGCTGTTACAAGTGTTGGTGCTATAAATGTTTGGCCTTTACAAATAGGATCACAGGAGTCCAAAAAGGAAATGAACAAGCTTTTCAATGATACACATACAAATACATTATAACAGAACGATAATGACAGCGGGGTGTTAAGTACATTATGTATTTAAGCCACGCACACGTGCAAATTCCAATTTCACCACGTGGTGAAAAAACAAAAGGCAGTTTTTGGCACAGCGTTCTTTTTCAGAAACATAAACTCACGGCGTTCTGTAGTTCACAAATAAGACATATAACGGTTACATACGCTTAACACTGTACAAGCACACCGCACATGGAAAATGTTGTAAAATGCGCGGCAAAATTGGCTCTTTCAAAGTTTGTCTCAAATCAGGAATGGCCGCTCGAAATTTAGAGAACTTATATCATTTTTGTCTGAATTTAAGTTGTTGTTCTTACTGTACTATTTGCTACGGAACAATGGTAGCCAAATAGTTTGTTGCTTACCTGTACTTAGAGCGAAGAAGAAGAAGAAGTCGCCTTTGAACCACCTTCTGTCTCCCAACACTTTCGCCATCTTGTCTTCTCGAAAATTCACCAGAGCGGGAACATCCGCATTTTCTCCTCAAAACGGAAAGAAAACATCACGAGAACGACATAATTCCACCGTGAAAAGTTCCCAACAGTCTAATCTACACTTTAGAAAGGCATTCCTCCGATAAAAAGTCGATAAAGTACCCTGAAAGTTGCACAAAAATAACAACTCGGAGAATTCTCGTCCTGCCAAACCGCCATTTTGAAGGGACCATGCCGTCTTTTCTTTTTTTTACACAGGTGTGCAAGACAGCCTGTCTAATTAATATGGTGCTGCTGATCTAATTACGAAGACAAATTCAATCTTAAAGAAAAGGAATATATATCATTCCTATTTCACGCAAAGTTTTTACGAATAGTGTTCTGGATGTTGGATGCTGTTCTTGGTTCGAATTCATAGCAAGTGGCCCCAACGTTGAAGTTTATTCTGACGATAAATAAATTAAATGCTGGACAGCCTGCTTAAGATCCCTGGATAGAACATGATAATCTGTATGCGCTCATGTTGGGAGGCTAAATGTTTTCCTAGCTTCCAGTTTCTGTCACAAACCGCGTCCTTAACATAGTGGCAGACGGTTTGTGACAGAAACGGGCAGCTAGGAAAACGTTACCATTTAGCCTCCCAACATCTGCTTGAATATTAGATAGCCCCATAGGGGAAATAGAACACGGTGTTGGTGTTAGTCAGCAGAAGAAAATCGTTATTGAGCCTACGAACACACTTCAGTGTTATTATTCCACAAGATAACGGCAATAAGAAAACTTCAGACATTAATATAGCCAAATAAATTTGTCAAACCAGGGGGATATTCATGGGCTAGGACGAGTCAGTATATTAAGTTATCGCTAGGTTCCTGTTTGAAAATATGTACAAACATTCAAAAAGTTCACAAACACAATGCACTATAAAATGAGTCATTCTTTGTATCTATTTATGTAATTGACAAATAGAATTAAACCTATAAGGTAGATCAATAACAATCAGTCTCATCATAAGATATTTTTCTAGTCACATAAAAACAAGTGTACAACGTATTTTGATACATTATCATTGATTATTTCACTCAAACCCTACCGAAAATAAAACACTTTGACAAAGGCATATTATGATTTTCTCTGTAAAAGGTGGAAACTGTATGACTTGCATTCAAGTGTTTTGGTAGGTATGTCAAACTTTCCTGCTCAAGCATTGGAATTCGGGGCATAAACTCTTCGTTTATCTTGAAACTCAACAGTTTGCATTATGCAAATAAAAAACCTAACCAAAAATGTAGGGGATAGCTATCCAACTGTTGTAATCTTAGTTATCTGTCACTTCAAACTATAGTCATATCAATGTAAACATTGTTTTCCCTTGTGTTTCTCCTTTCCCTGCCATGTCGTAAAATGTGGCGAAGCCATCCGCTGCATTTGCTCCAAAGCAAATGTCGGCCTTTCTTGTTCATCTCATACGTACGTTTTCAGCAGTTTCGTTGACTTGGGGACAAAACTTAAAAAGACAAAGGGTTTGTACGTTTCACCCCACAACATGTTATATTTCTCCCTTTTATTTTACCCCAAAACTACAGACTTAGGAAATCTTGGGCAGTCAACTTTGTTGTAATTAATCAAGGAGCAAGTCGAGATACTTCTGCAGGAGCGTTGGCAAGTTGAGTTGATAAACGCCCCCTGGCAGTGCCCCGTTGTCCTGCAGACGTTTTCTGATGAGACACCTGCAGAGGTGCTTGAGTTCGCAGGGGTCGGTGCACCTGTCCCGGGGCACCCAGGAGTTCCACCGCGCGCGCTGGACGGCCAACAGGTCGGGCTCCGAGTCACTCGGGTCGTGGAAGGACGGGATCTGGAGCGGGATCCTCGGCATGGCTCGGCAGTAGATCTGCAGGCAGCGCCGGACACGGCAGGCACAGTCATCGCGACCCTTCAGAAACACAGAGTGACGTGATTCACAAGTAAAACAAACAAACAAACAAGCAAACAAACAAGCAAACAAACAAACAAACAAACAAACCAGGGCATATCTTCTAAAAAATGATCGAACTAAGTTAATTTCTTTATTTTCTTACTACATGTAGTTTGACGATGCTGGTGGTAAGTTCTATCTTCAATGCGACATGGAAATGGTCATATAGACCAGACATTTCAATGAACTTAATACACGATCTAGCTTATAGCGAGGACGAGATACTTCACAGGGATTCTATCGTCAAAGCGACAAGGTAATATAGATATGAAAGACCAGGAATTTCAACGAACCTTATACACGTCCCAGCACATCGCGTGAAAGAGATACCCCACGGGCCACCGCCGACCGAAGCGGGGCGATCCTCGGTCCGGGTCCGCGCCGTGCCGGAGCAGCAAGGCGATCAGCTTCGGGTGCGTACAAAAGGAGGCCAGGTGCAGGTAGCTGAACCGATAACCGTTGAACCCCGAAGGCGACTCCAACTGATTGATCAATTGCACCCTGTTAGAAAAACAAGTATTTGCCGCCACCTTGACGAGATACTTGAACTTCTTCTGAAGTTGTCTGAGGAACCACCGCGACACGAGGCCCAGGTTATACCCGTTGGTCTTATCGCTGATGACGCGAATCAGACGCGAAATCGTGTTCTCGTCACTAAGAAGAACGTCGAAAGTAAGAACTTGTTTGATCAACGGGTTGCTTGGATCCATTTGAAACTTCCAGCAGCAGCAGCAGGCCTGTTTGAGAAGGTGGGAGTACTTGGAGTGGAGGTAGGTACGCGGACCGGCCGGGCCGTCCGTCCGTTCCGTAAGCAGGGCGGCCTTTTCCTCCTCAAACATGGCCAAAATGCTGTTGATAGCGGCCTCCGCCGCATCCTGGGACCGGACACTCAAGTAGCCGAAGAGGATGGGAACTTCGCCATACTCGTGAGAGAAGTACTGAAGTTTCAAGGTTTCTGTTTGGATCCCTTCTAGTACAGTCTTCCGAGCTCGTCCCAAGGACACGGGCTCCTGGAAAGTGTAGCACGCCTTGACATCTCGACTTTGCGTCATAGCAGAAAACAGCGTAACGTTGGAACGTCCAAAAATTCGTCAACACGGGCACGGCAAAATATTTATAAGACTCTTTCAAACTGAACGTATGCAGATGATAATGGGTCCTGCTAATTGGCCAGTAGTCTTGTGGTAGTCTGTAATTTACTTGTTCCATTGTTCAAAATCTGCAAGATCAAGATATCGCGGTATGTTGTACCATGGAGTTAACAGACAGCATTCTTAAGAAGTAGGGTTATTGTGCTAAGTGACTATTATGTACATACATGTACATGTATTACACTGTACGTTTGGAGCCACATTATTAAGGAGTCTGTACCCAGTAACTGCGTTTGTTTAATAACTGACCACAATTAGGCATATAGCATAATTATTTATTACTCCTGTACATATTATATGGGATCGCATTGTAGATACAGTTCCTTGTAGATATGTAAGTATTGCACATTTGGGAATGCATCTATAGCAGCGACAACTGTGCTGCAATGTAATGTAAACAAGTGAGAATTGCCCATGAGGAAGGTGACAGACGGTCACCGAAACGTCGGCTGTGAATAATGATATATTCATGATCTGTACTAAGCTTGTTAGAGCACAAACGTACAATAAAGGTCTTTCATTCAATAAAACACTTGGTTGTGTAAAAAGAGTCTCTTTACTAAGTAACTAATATGAACCCTTGTGTGGGCAAAATTAAAGATGATAAGACATGCTAGTGTCACACAACACTTTTATTTCATTATTTTGTAATTACATAGAAAATAAGCATACTAATAAGTAAAACCAGCCAGTTATGGCTGCTGCAGCCAGCATTTACTGAAGTAAGGCATCACTTATACTTTTTCTATATTGACTTATAGTGCAATGCTGCTCCCCACAACTGCTGTTGTGTTTTCCAGTGAGTGTGACATGAGACATGTGACATGAGAGTGGCGGCCATTATGGGCCATATTACAACATCACTCTCGAAAATGATTAATACACTTTCTATTCAGTTCAATAAACGTTTATTATAATAACCAATTCCTAAAGTCTATAGAGTTGTTACCCATAAGAAATATTGGTAATATATCCAGAACGCTAGCTGATCCATATGAAAGATCATGTACCAATGTTAACACTCAATTTATATTGAAGCATTGAAGGCAATATTTCAATGAAGTACAATGTATATTTAGCACCTAGTTTAAAGCCTGATCTCGAGGGCTACATGTGCATGTACATATGAAAACCACATTCATCAGCTAGTGTCATTTATATTGATGCATACACATGTAACTGTGAGAGTAAACAAAGAATCTACTCGTATTTTCCAAATATTAATAATATGCCAGTTAAAATAAAAAAGATAGCATCTTTCCAAGTACTCTAAGTTCGTAAAATACAATTTCTCTTCTGTCAGTAGATAATGTTAACCAGTTCCTCAAGTCTATAGAGTTGGCTATGTGTACATGTTGAAATCCCAAATAAACATTACATTCATTGGTGTGGTTTATGTTGATGCGTAAATGTGAAAGTAAACAAAGCATCTACAAGAAGAAAGTTAAATTGTTCTCCAACTCAAAAACCAAATTAACTCACCAGAAATTTTTGACTGAATCGCTCAGTCTTCATTAGCTTGATGACCCAAGTGCTATGGACAAGTGACTTTTAGCCATGTGTGACGTCAGCACTGGGTCAGTTCGTCGGAAGTTGGTACCGCCCCCCGTCACGGTTTAGCGAAGGTTGGTATGCCATGATGTAGATGGCTTCTTCCACAGCACTTGTGTCACAAAGCTGATGAAGACTGAGCGATTCAGTCGAAAATTTCTGGTGAGTTAATTTCGTTTTTGAGTTGGAGAACAGTTTAACTTTCTTCATGTATTTTACCAACTCAGATGACCTTTCATGCTTTAAGTAAAGCATCTACTCGTATTTTCCGAATTTGTCACTGAATGGACAACGGCTTACTATTTACAGATTTACATGCTAGTAAGAGAAAAGGATAGCATCTTTCAAAATACCTCTGGTGTATTGGGCAGACTATTGTATCAAACTCCAATTCTATAGCCCTTTGGCCACACACTTGTACAGTGACGCTACACTAGAGGGCTACACGAGTACTAACTTTTGCCCTGCCCTGAAAGATCAATTTCACATTTTTACACAGGATTAGGTTGTTCTGCCAGTTGTATTGCATTTCTAGTATCCAATGATTCATTTCTGATCAGGGTAGTTTGAGATTGCGCATGCAGACGACCTGTCTGATCGTTTTCACATTTGTACATGGGGATTATAAATTGAAATGGGTTTCTATGTTTATATATACATGGTGATCATATAGATACTAGGTGTTTGTGTGTGTTGGATTCAGTGATGGCCTGAGACTGGCTCCTCCCAGTCTCCATCATTGATTGATTACGTTTGGTCGCTATTTTCATACTCGTGATCGTGATCACTGGGATTGTGTTAATCGCTACAAGGAGAACCTCCTTGGTCGATATTTTTCATACTTGTGATGACTGGGATTTTGATCGTCACTATTTTCATACTGATCACTGGGAGTCTGTTGGTTGCTACAAGGAGAACCTCCGTCGTTATTTTCATACTGGTGATCATGATCACTGGTATTTTTCTGGTCACTATTTTCATACTGGTGATCGTTATTACTTGGAGTATGTTGGTCGTTATTTTCATACTGGTGATCAGTATTACTTGGAGTATGTTGGTCGTTATTTTCATACTGGTGATCGGTATTACTTGGAGTATGTTGGTCGTTATTTTCATACTGGTGATCAGTATTACTTGGAGTATGTTGGTCGTTATTTTCATACTGGTGATCGGTATTACTTGGAGTATGTTGGTCGTTATTTTCATACTGGCGATCGTCATTACTTGGAGTATGTTGGTCGTTATTTTCATACTGGTGCTCGTCATTACTTGGAGTATGTTGGTCGTTATTTTCATACTGGTGATCGGTATTACTTGGAGTATGTTGGTCGTTATTTTCATACTGGTGATCGTTATTACTTGGAGTATGTTGGTCGTTATTTTCATACTGGTGATCGTCATTACTTGGAGAATGTTGGTCGTTATTTTCATACTGATGAGTGCTGATACTTTCGTAGGAATAATTAACCTGCAAGGCAGCTAGGTGTGCCTTAACTTGATCATTCAAACCATCTTTGGGATCTTTGCGTGAACGGGGATTTCTGTTCCTCCTCTTGTGCCAAATTGGGAGAATGATGGTATCAATCAGGACGCCAACTATCAAACCAGAGACAGAGGCAATGACAACTAGTAAGATGAAACTGAGACCAGATTCATGGGAAGTGTTGTTTTCTGGTTTACTCGGGTCAACAGACAGTGTGATGAATGTGTTGCGTTCTGTTGATTCGTCGCTTCGTTTAAAGTACCAGTGATAGTGTGAGTGTGAGGTGCGGGGAGTGGTGGAATTGTAAGAAATATTACGACTTTCCAATTGGCCATCGTCTTTGCAGACCAGTTCTTTCTGGTCGATTTCTATAAGCTTTTTTCCAGAGAACATGGCGGGCTGGGAACATACTATTTGGCCTTCAAAGGAACGAGACCCATTCATTTTTCGCCTGAAGGGAGCCATCCTACAGTCACACTGCCAGGGGTTCTCCTCAATATTAACAACAGCAATAGATGCCAAGATGTTGTAATCTGACAGGGGAAGGGTAGATATCTGGTTGGATGCAAGGAGCAAATGTGTGAGCTTTGGTAGATTTGAGAATGTACCAGCCTTAATGTCAGTTATCTGGTTCGACTTTAGGGACAATGCGTTAAGCGTTGGTACATTTAAGAATGTACAAGGGTGGATACAAGTTATGTTGTTGGAGTCTAGGTACAATTGTCTAAGATTTGGTAGATTTGAGAATGTGTCGGAATGAATGTCAGTTATCTCGTTGGAGCTTAGGGACAAAGTTGTCAGCTTTGGTAGATTTGAGAGTGTATCAGACTTCATGTCAGTTATCCGGTTGGAGGTTAGGTACAACCCTGTGAGTTTTGGTAGACTTGAGAATGGATGAATGGCAGCTATCTGGTTGTCTCTTAGATACAAATGTGAGAGTTTGGGTAGATTTGAGAATGTAGCAGACGGAATGTCAGTTATCTGGTTGAAGGCTAGGGACAATTTTTCGAGATTTGGCAGATTTGAGAATATACCTGGATGAATGCCAGTTATCTTGTTGCAGTTTAGGTACAAAAACACCAGCTTTGGTAGATTTGAGAATGAGGCAACCTGGATGTCAGTTATTTTGTTGTCTTTGAGAGACAATTTCTTCAGGCTCCTATACCTGAGCTCTGACTGTTTTAAAGATGTAATCCGATTCATGTCCAGAGTTAACTCACGGATGGATGTTGGAAGGTGCGGGGGGATGCGTCTGAGGCGCATCCTGATGCACATGCAGGTCGAGGTGCTACACTTCCTCCTACAGCGATTCTTTGGCTTACAGAGGATGCTGGGCTCCTCGAAGACGATGAGAAGGAAAATAAGCACATATCGTAATATTCTTCCCATGGTGTTTTGTGACCTTTAAGAAATCAAAGGCTGGAATCAAACTAAGGTAGTAATTGAAAGGTACACTTCAGTAAAGTATGACCATATGAATAAATTGGCAGCAAATAATAAATTTCACTCCTTGAATCGCCTCTTCAGTTATGGTGACCACAATCTGCAGAAACACGCAAACAGACAAAAAACAAGAATTCAGAGATTTCATACCTCCATGAAATATTTAGAGGTTTCGTAATTTTTTTATTTGTCTTATTGATTATTTAGTAAGGTTGTAATCTGCATACTATACTGGCATTTCAATGTATCGTTTTCCCAGTCTCATCAATCAAGACCATAGCATGTCCATGACAAAAGATACAAAAACTGAAAGTTCTGCTGCAGTACCAAGGTCAGAAACCAGGAGGCTCGAATTGACTTTTTCTTTCCAAGACCTTCCCACATGCCAAATACCATCACTATCCATCGAGGCCTTCTGAAGTTATGCTGATCACAAATATCTGGAAACAACCCCCCCCCCCCACCACACACAGAGAAACATGGACAGACCAGAAACAATACCTCCATTTCTCAGGAACGTCATTAGGGAGGCTGTATGGATCAGAAAATTTACTCCGGTCATGAACCGTGATGAGAGTGGCACAAGCTTGGGGAAGGGGCACAAGCTTCTGTTGTTGGGCAACACGCTCACACACAAACGAATGCAGGAAAACATCATGCCGCTGAGGAGTCCTCAAGCTCAAAATGACGTTTCAAAATTCGGCCGGAATACATAGCCTCCTGTGCAGACCTCCAGGCGGGTGGGAGATTTGATACTGTGTTTTGTAGAATAACGCGTTCTTTTGCCGGCCATCTTACAACTAGCTGCCCAGAGAAGGTTTGTACCCGCCATGGATATTCGGATGGCCGGCAAAAAGAACGTGTTATTAAAAAAATTCTGCAAAAACGCAGTACTTATCGACCCCCCCCCCCGGCCCGAAAGCCTCCACAGGAGGCACCGGAATACGGCCGTTGCCCTTGAAGGGATCAGTCAATGTGCACAGGTCCCTAATCCCTGCCCAATGTATCAGCAAATAGTGCTCGATTTTCTTTCAATTTCAAAAGTCAGCGGCATTTTTGGCAATTCACAAACAAACAAACAAATCCCTCTGAATGTGGTTGGAAGTAGGAGTGGCACCAGCCATACGTGGCACTGTGTGGCTGTAGGAGGCATAATGTCTACAGATAAAGGGCAGTCTCACCTTTGAAGTCGATTCTGTCTTACATTGGTCTAGTCAGTGTCCAGTTGGTTCATATCTTGTGAGGAGGTTTACAAGGCCGTGAATAAGGACGTTTCGCCCAGTTGCAGTTGTTCTTGTACGGCACGTCCTCTGTGGAGTTCTGGCGCAGTGGAGTGCGATAGGCAAACAACTCTAGATTAGTCTGGGTTGAGTCATATTGTTTTAAGGTTTTTCTGTACGTGTAATATTCTTGCGTAAGTGCTTTTTAAATATTCACACCGAGAGAGCTGTTTCCTCTCATATTGTTTGGTTTACCAAGGACATTACGATTTGTGTACGTGTAATGTCCTTGCGTAAACCCTGCTTTTTGAATATTCACATTGACAGAGTTACTTTCAGCTGTGGCCTTTCGCTGGCATTGTGAAGTTTCTGAATAGGAGATTTAAATCTACCAACTCGCTGGACAACAATAGTATGGCTATCGGTCATTGAAATACTAAAATATACTTTAATTTTGGGGAACAGTGTTTTGCCTTCGACATGTCGGTTCTTTTGGTGAATGCGAGGTTGAGCATTTTTGCACCAGCATAACTATAAATGCGTAGCTAGGTGGCTTGTGTAAGCAATCAAGGCACAAATCTGCATAAATTATATGCATGGGTCCTTATTCGTAATCTCCAAGCAGATGTAATATATATATAACGTTACTTAGTTACATACTTACTTGAATATGTTCATGTTTATAGAATTGTAACTTACTGCTCTCGTTTTGATTATTGATAAACCCTTTTCTTCATCTGTGATATCATGTATGGTAGAAATTATGGGTATAGATATCTGTTTGTGAACAATCAGAAAATGCATATGTTTGTTTATTATTTTGTTATGGATTGTCACATAGATTTCATGTATTGGTCTCTGAATGAAAGAATGATAATTTTCTGTATACATGTTAGTGATACTGAATACTTGGATACATAAGTGGATACATGAGGGCTCTTTCAAGGAGAGTAAAGTGCCTCTTTTAAGTGCGAGTGTACAATGTATGTGTGTGTGTGCTTGGATGGTGTTCAGCACCAAGGACAGGTCTTGCATCTGTCTGTTAAAGTTACTAGTAGTCTGTGTTGCTACAAGTGGTTGGGGAGTGCTTCAGACTGGAAAAGTTGAAGTCTGTCATCGCTGGTTGCCCTGCTTGGTTCACGTATTAAGCACGAAAAAAGAGATGACATGTGGCATCAAGAGTTAGAAAAAAAAGGGTCAAGCATGCTTTGCACTTTGCTACACCTTCGACAGGGGGCCGTTCACTGCCATCTATACGAAGTTCTCACTATAGCTAGGTGAGAACTTTGTATAGATGGTGTCGCCCCCCCCCCCCTCATAATTTTCATGGGGGGCAGCGGCACACTGTCTGTAATGTGGTTTTGCAGATAATGTTATATGTACATGTATTTACTTCCAGCTCTAATTCTGCATTCTTTATTCACGCAAATCTGTCGTTTATGAGATAAAACTAGATAAAATGTTGTTTTATCTCAGAAACGACAGAGTCGCATGAATAAAGAATTCGAGCTGGAAGTAAATGACCTCGCCGAGTTATGCATGATGGCTACTGGCGAAGCCCGTATCCAGAGTCTAACAAAACCAGCAAAAATACAGAAACTACAACGCACTTGCCACTTTTTATCCATTGTTAACGATAACTCAATAAACTTCAGATGGATTGTTATGAAACTTTGTGGGTGGTTAGGTCTTACATCGTGCAGATCTGCAGTACTATCATTTGTCACAAGGTGGCGCTTATATACCGGACGGACGAGTTCCAGGGCCCTAGAAACAGGTGCACGCAGTTCAAGGGACACTTTCCACTCTTTGACGGGATCTTCATAAAGGTAACGTTTGATCCAACACTGGGAAACATTTTATAAAATATGCCTTTCTAAGGCTAGACGGTTGGGAGGAAGAAACCTTAAAACATTCGGTACAAAAATCGTCCATCGTCACAGAGATTTTTGGGGAGGGGCTAACTAACGTTATAACGAGTTGTGACACTGCGGTGTCACTGAAGCCATTTGATAGGAAGGGAAGCATAGAAAGGAGACAAGGTAGCGAACATTGCTGTCTACCGTCTTAAAGTTTCTACACAACGTCGATTTAGACAGTGAATCGAAGACAACAGCTATGTTGCATGTTGTTTATATACCCCTTGTACGGTCATGCATGATCATGTTAGGATCGATGTTTTCACATCTTGACTGAGGTTAATAACGTGGCATCACCTACTGGTATTAGTCTTAAGGGTCCTGGGTATCTAAAACGTCTCTTGCGGGTGTACGATGGCATCTTGGACGTTGGGAGGGCGAATAAACTGGAAGACAAAACATGGAAGTCATGCGCGGAAGTGATCATGAGTTGGAGTGGGAATAGTCCACTCAAAGGCGGGGGCCCGAGGGAAATTCCATCACCTGTTGCAGGTGGTTTAGAACATTACATTTCATATTAATTGATGGTTCAAGCTCTGTAATAATAATAAATAAACATTGTACATGTATATATGAGTAATAACCTAACATAAGCATCATAACAATTCCATCTATAATGCATGTACCTGTTTTGCTGAAGCATCCTCTCATCATCAGTCAATGCATGGCCCGGATTTTCTAAACTTTTGTATTGTTTTTCCTGACAGCCCCAAGACTGTTGCTAGAAGGTGTGCTGCTACCATGAAGGACACAATCCAAACAGAATCAGAGACTGAACCTAATGTTACATCTGAAGAACCTGAAGTGCAGAATGGTTCAATTTGTCCTGATCATCACATTTCCCAAATAGAAGAGTTAGAGGAGGAGACAGAGACATCTGAATCTGTAAATCTTATAGAAGACAACAATGTGACACTACAAGAGACCACTATAAGCAAACCTGATGTACCCAAACCATGCTGTCCAGGGCTTGGCTTGTTTTACGCCTTTTGCTCCTGTTTCTTCTTCTCCTCAGCCTCTCTGTGTGTGAAGCTGATATCACAGGACAATCCCATGAATCCCTTGGAGATAACGTTAGTCCGTCACATCATCACCGGCCTGTGCCTCCTTCCGGCCATGATTTACTTCAAGGTGCCAATCCTGGGGAGCCCGGGACAGAGAATGATCCTGACTGCGCGCGGACTTGCCGGCGCTACGGCGCTGTGTTTCTCGTACTACGCCATCCAACATATGCCGCTGGCGGACGCCGCCGTCGTGATCTTCAGTTCACCGATTTTCACTGGGATCTTCGGACGACTCTGTCTGAAGGAGCGCTACGGACCGTTTGACATTCTGCTAACATTCGTGACCTTTGCAGGAGTTGTGTTGATCGCAAGGCCGCCATTTCTTTTCGGAGGCAGTGACACAAGTTACGGATCAGCAGAACACTTGTTAGCAACAGGATCTGCATTTCTGACCGCCATGCTGAGTGCTTTAGCCTTTATAGTGATGAGGAAAAGTAGTGTGGGGCTTGGAATCCACTACCTAGTCCAGATCATGTTTCTATCAATAATCGGTGCACTCATGTCTATCATAGTTCTAGCCATTATGAGGGGTTTTACTCTCCTACTATGTGGTAAAGACAGGTATTATTTGATAGCAGTGGGGCTGGGTGGTTTGGGAGGGCAGATTTTCATGACCAAATCGTTCCTGTATGAAAAAGCCCATGCTGTAGCAGTGGTGAGGACAATGGATATTGTATTTGCGTTCATTTTCCAGTATCTGTTCCTTAACCATGCACCGACATGGCTGAGTGTGGGGGGAGCCTTACTTGTGGCTAGTGGAACTGTAGGACTGGCCACCAAAAAGTGGTACATATCTTCTCAAGTCAACAGTAACAAGTAAATAGATAAAGATGTTTTGAACATAGTTTAAGGCTTCTACTTCTCCTTTCTGTAGCTTCGAAAATTATGAATATCAAAGGGTGAATGTGAAGAAATTGCGAAAGAAAACAATAAAGATTGACACTGAACACTTGTCCAGGCTATCACTATCAACACCATGTAAAAACAGTTCAGTCCAGGTCCAGTCAACGAAGACAGAAACCCAGAATGTACAACATCGCAATGTAAGCATTTTATTGACCACTGTGCCAACGTTACACAAAACCCACGTACCACTACTAAACCTAGAAACCTTGTTAGCCAAGCTACATACAACAATAACGAACGTGAACGACTTTTGTTAGCGACGTCTCTGTACAGCGTTAGAACGGCTAGCGTAAGTTATTACCAAAATTGTTTTATCCTCAGTGAAAAAATAAATTACTGTATCTTACATCACAAAAACTGACACACAATAAATACATGAACAGCTTCTCTAGACTTTCATTTGGGGCTGTTGAATTCTAGTTGCCATTGGAAGTACCATGCACTAAAAACAGACAGGGAAGAAACTTTGACCTGAAAATGCCCAATATGAAAAAGGTGGGTACCATAATAGATATAGACACCTTTTAAGGCTGATTTAATTACTACCAGTCTCTTTGAATTACGCAATTCCCTCAAAAACCTAGACCTAATTTCAGATAATTGAAACTGTTATATCATGGCAGTTTCTGTAATCATAGCTGAGAAGTCATGAAAACCATGTTACATTTTCTCGCAGGCTATTCATTTTCTACAAAATATCAGAAAAATAGTGACTTTTCATAATCATCTTAATGTTCATGGTCAAAAGAGTGAGGTAAAAGCTTAATAGGGATGGATGCAATTTGAATGGCAGTTGTGAGGACATATGGAATATGAGATCTTTTAAATTTTTAGATAAATAACTCCAAGACATATTTAAAATACAACAGCCCCAAAATCTCACATTGCATGTTCCTGCAGTGTTAATCATCAAGTTTAACTAAACATTTTCAAAGAACTGTGCTTCTACTTGGCCCCTTTGAAACTCTATATGTTTAACTGAGCAATTCTAAATACAGATGTTACATCTACACAATGCTATTTGTACACTATACACATGTCAATGTAAACTCAAGGGGGTGGAGCTACAGACAAAAACACCTTTGCACTATCATGATCATCCCTGTATACCCTGCATTACCTTTTACATGAACCAGAGATATCATAATAATGTCAAACTCTAACCCATGCCTGTATCCACCCTATGGGTTTCCATTGACATGTGCACTATCCAGCAGAATCTGTCTATAGCCTGCAGATTTTCACAGCTGTACATGGCACATTCCACATCAACAGTTTTAACTAGTCTTTCAATTGTGTTACTGACTGGAGAACTAAAAGATACATCTTCATACAGAAAACAAGTTTTGTCTATTGTGTGTCTATAGGAAGACAGTTTTATACAGCATTGAATAATATCTGTTTCATTGTATTCTGAGTGAATGTGTCTTCTTTGGAAGAAGAGAATGATTACTAACTTTTTAAACATTTTAGCTGTGGTCATCTCAACTTAGGAGTGTACCAAAATGAATTTGGTGCAATTTATGACAACTTGTAGAGTGGAGGTGGTCAAAATAAGGATTCAAAACTAGTATGCTTTTTTCTGTTTTAGCCGTTAGGCCATGTTGATTTGATTATATGGATGACATCCTCTGGGAACCCCAAAACTGATGCGCGCGTGCGAATAAAAAAAAAGTTTTGCAAAAAAAAAAGTTGCTTTCACTATGAAATCTACGTGGTCATGAAGGTTGAACGAATGGCACAGAATATGCTATGGCGAATAATCTACTCTTCGAATTCATTTATTTACATTTTTGTCTTTTTTCCTTTGATTTTGGCATTCTACGACATTGGTATCGTTTCTAAATGTTTTCCTTGCAACTTATGGTATATTTTTGCTCATTTAGCAACTGTTTTGCACGATTTACAGTATGGTTGAAAACTTTTTTTTTTTGGAAACGGCCGAAAATTCATGCGCGCGCGGATGTCATCCATATAATCAAATCAACATGGCCTTATGATTAAAAAAACATTAAATTTAAAAACACTTCTTATCAATTGCTTCCTATCATGAGACTAACAGTAGTGTACAACCTATCAGTTAATCTTAAGTAAGTTTTAGTTAAACAAAAATTGCATTGTAAAACACTTCCTGATAAAATGAGATTTTTGCCATCAATGATTTCTATTCACATTTACTGTACAACACAAATAACAAAAACAGTTCAGTACAGTAAATACTACATAATATTACATAGAATATCAAAACGAACATGTAACACTTAGCATTTCCATGAATGTTAATATCAACAACCTACACCAACAAAAAATAACTTTTTATGTCATGGATTAACCAATCAACCATCCAACCAACCAATCAACCAAACTACTTCAACTTTAAAGCACCATGAAACTTTCTTTAATTAAAACAAAACTTTTAAAAGCTACTAGGTCATAACCTACCAAATGCACAGACAACAACACTGGTACAAATACTATACAGTTACATGTACATACATTGTACACTGGACCTTGTAGGCTGGTCCCACTAGTGGTATTGTATTTCTCATTCATCAGTGCTCACTCCAAAGAACACACTAACTGACTAAGGATGATTTTTGTCCAAGGACGTCTCTTTCACAGTACTACATGTACATGTATGTATCTACAGTGATCTTTCACACACAGACTCAGATAACATACCATGATTCCAGAAACATAACTAAATCTGCACATCCTGCACATTTCTTGATGTTATCGTAGTAACATCTATAGGACATAAGGAGAAACCATCAAATTTTGTCCACAGAGACACTTGTTTAACTGTATGTCATTGCATCACAAATTCTGAGCATGGTGTGAACAAACATACATACATGTACACATGGGCCAGAGACTTACACATATTGGCACATATTAGTCACAAGTTCCTATATACAACCTCAACTCCTGTACATGACATGATACAATGTTACACAAGGCAAAACATTACACTATCTTACATTCACAAACATTCTAGCATCAGGTTCATCGAACAGGCCTGGATTACTTTATTATTAGTCTAGGTACATTAGCTATTTACACTTATTCGTTCCGGTTAATCTGCATATAAAATCTGAGGAAGGTTACAGGATTTTGAATTTGGAAAAGAAATGTTGTAACCACAGGGCCGGCCTGTTGTAAAAATAGTAAACGAAAAAGCTGGTCTCAAGGAAGCTATGCTAAAACTTGTGTGGCTAAGTTTTGAAAAGTTCTGTACTTACTGTCTGTTCTGTACTCCAATTCTTTTGGGGTCTGCATCACTGTAGCCATCTCCAGACTTTATATTCTCAAGTTCATGATTGAGTGGTTTACTTTAACATGCAGTTAAAGAACAAGACTTTCTACCTACATTTTCTCTTCCTGTAGAGTTTCTTAAATACCTAACATTGGTGCCTAGTCTTCACATACATATAATCACATCAAGTTTTCATCTTCTTGATTGGCTGAAAGCTACACCAATCACAGCCAGGCTTTCTTGTAGCAGCCAATCGCAGCCAGTGAGCTTCTAGTAGAGGATGTGTCTCATGTTGCAATTGGCTGTCTCATTTGAAGAGCTAACTGAGCTCTTTACAGGACTTCATATTATGTCTCTCATGATTCAATACTAGCTTTATGTACATGGTATTATAGCAGTTTTGGAAATGTCTTCTTATTTTACTGCTCCAGAAAACACCTTTTCTTTCAAGGAGGCAGTTGGAAAACATCCCACTTTTTCGTTCAGCAACAGTTGAGAAGTGAGCAAGGGTCCTTGCAGCATTTTGTGTTTTTTAGTCTCTTTGATTCGAATTAATCTGGTTTACATCACTGCATTTTACACTAGGACTGGCAATACTTGGTGCTTCGCTTGGTTTCTTTGAGTAGAGATGCTTTTAATTTATTTCACAAGACATTGTTATATGTCATGATGTTCTTGATGAACCTTAACACATTTCACAATCAAGAACATCCCCACAATTTCAGATTTTCATCAACGATAAATGGCCAGATTCTGACAATGATCTATATACAGTTTCCAATCATGATCTTGTTCACCTGCACTTGTTGACCCCAATAAATGAGAAGCTCCATGGGTCCAATTTTTCTTCGACAGGCAACTTTTCTCTGTACTTGCCTGCAGTATGCCTTTTTAGCAATTGTTTTCATTTTTGCAAAGTAGCAGATGATGTTTTGCACTAGTAGGCATTTAAGTCATGAGCTTGCTTTTTCTTTTTCTTTTTCTTTTCACAGAAAACGTCACACATTGCTGTAGAAGAACTACAGATACTGCCTTTCTGTTAATCATTCTTTTAACTAAAAGAACAACCCTGATCCCCTGATCCCCTGATCTAGATTTGTTGCAGTCATCTCTTTCACCCCTATTTTGAAAGTGGACAGTGCCAGTCTACCACATCTTCACTTATCAATCTCAGGAGACGTCCACTACAAAATAGGGGTGAATGGAAAGTACACAAGCCTGTGTGACAGTGGGTGTTGTTCTGTAGAGATTACACGGCCACGACAGGTGCGGAGGGAGTGACGTTGGCCCCGTGTGCTGGGGTGTACGTTTCCAGCTGTGGTGGAGGAGTTTCAGGTTCGATGGACGTCGGTGTTTGCGAGGTGGGAGTCTGCGGACCAGGGGACTTGTTCTGTAGACTCTGCAGGTAGTTCTGGATTAAAACATGAAGACTGTATTAAGACTGGGTACCCTCTCTTGTTCTCTTACTTGTCTAGAGAGCCAAAATCAGTATCAGTAAAATCTAACTTGAAAGAACCTCACATACTTGCATTGTAAGTAAAAGGTAGTGTATATGCTTTTAGGAATTACTGTTCTTCATCTATTATCATTGTGAACACCCACACGTTGGGTTTTGCAGTGACAATTCATGTGGTATGACATATCAACAGCCTGCAAATCTAGTATGTTCTGATAGAGGGCGTTTCTAGACTAGTTGACAGGTACAGACAACCCCTGGGAACACCTCACCTGCGTGATGATATCGCCATGGAAACGTCGGACGGGTCTGTAGAGGTCCTGGTACTGGCGGTATCTCTCCTCCATCATGTGGCGCTGGCGCACGCGGGCGTCCTGCTGACGTATCCTGTACAGGTGCACACGCCGCTTCTTCCTGCTGATCACAACTACAGGCACAGGGAGACGGTCAGGTGTCAATCATCAGCAAACAACAACATTAAACAAGAAACTCAACAGTCACTCAAAAAATATCCAGTTGAGTAACTGTTTTCTTGTGTATCTTATTACCTGGATGTCTAACCTTCATCAACGCATGTCTGAGTGACTGAGTCAGTGTGACAGACGGTTCTGTTAGTGTTTACCAGTGAAGGGTAACGATGCAGAAATTGTGTAGTTGGCATCAGGCAACAGATCTAGAGGAGAAATGCACACCGTCCATGCATCACCTTATACGAATAGACCAGTTGATCTCGAGGATGGAATCTTGCAAACAACATCTTAAGGTCTTGCAATTTAAGGGGGCAAAACAACAATTTGACACGACTTTCTAAATTTTGACATTTTTGGTTACAATTAGATGCCCTCATATCTTGTTAGCAAAAGAATGACACTCATTTAGGAGTCTTGTCAAAAGGTTCCTAACTGGAAAACCATCCTCAATATCAAATCAACTGGTCCACCTCCCAATTACAAAGTCCATATACAACGTAGTTTAACTCCACCATGAGAGAGTAAGCTGCAGAGAAAGGAGAGACCTTGTGGAATGCAGTTCCATTTGCAGAGTTCCCATGCTTCAAGTGCCAACAGTTCAAGGAAAATGTTCTTTTGTCTGTTCCACTTGGTAAAATGAAAACTGTCACAGTTTTTGGGTATTTTAGTCTCTTTTTCCCAAGTATCTCAGTGAAGTTTTTCTTCTTTCTGGTCTTCCCACTGTTACGTAAAACTGAAACAGTTGTCAAACAAAATCATAGTTTTAAGCCAAAATCATAGTTTTAAGCCAAATGTGTGACAATTATTACAGTGGAACAGACACATACACATACAGCCACTACCACCATGGATGCTGAGTACACTTCCCAGTGCAAGAGTCACAACGTCATGTCCACATACCCACTACATCACGCTGTTGCCGATTATTTTCAACTACATCCTCCCCCTCGTGAGGGGGTTCCCGCGTTTCCGTGAGCGAGTACCGTCTGTGCGATCGTGAGGCTATTATGGGATAGATGTAAGGAGAACTACATTGTCAGTATAAAATATGGTATCAGGGTAATTGGGATAGTTTGTAGTTGTCTGTGTTAGTTAAGTTTTTCTTTTCCTTTTTACTTTAATGTTAGGCAACATACTGTATTAACAGTATTAAAGTCAAAGAAAACTGGGCTATCTTGCTATTAGAAGCGAATAAATTAGTTACCAGAAAAAATAAAATCAAAGTTGATGGACTATGATGATAATTGATTATAAGTCAAAAGTTATTGAGGTTATGTTTATAGCTATGATGTGTGCATTAAAGGCACTTTTTGTTTTCCAACCAATTCTTCTCCCATTTTGCTTTGATTTAAAAATCCTAAGAAAGAAGAAAGTATGTTAGTGCTGCAATGAAAACTTGTTTGGCTTCCTGGCATTAAAATTCAAATGGCATTGCGGCCATTGCCTGTTTTTGATATGCCTGCAGTTTTTAGTTCCTTCTCTTAAAATAGTTCCTATAAAATAGTGCCTATAGTTCCTAAAATATTTTGTTTGACAGATAAAAAAAGGCAGAAATCCCTGACCTTCCTGGTGGTCAAAGTTCCTGCCGGTCACTCTGTGCTGCACGACCACGCCGATGACCATCAGTACCGGCCAGATGGACAGGATGACCCAGGAGTACCAGCACACCGGCTCCGACACGGCCGCCATGAAGCGCTCCCACACGTACTGCACCATGATGAAGTGTTCCACGAAGTAGTCCACGCACACCGTCATGATGGCGCCCCCGAACACCGACGTCGCCAGGATGGTGCACGACTTCTGCCACTGCAGCGTCAGCACGGCGAACAGGATCCCCACACCGAAGATGATCCCCACCGGGATCCAGACCGTCGGCGGGTGGTAGAACGCCTCCAGCACGATCAGAAGGGCAGCCGAGAGGAACATCCCAAGCGTGAACCCAGTCATGAAAAGTCCGACTGCATTTATGAGCATCGTCACTAGTCCACATAGAACGCCGATTCCGATAGCGATTCCCGCGCTGGCTTCCACGCTCAGGTACGTGGTATAGAAACGTTCCTCGTTACAAAGCATGAACACGATGACTGAACCAAAGATGAAGCCTGTCAGGAACATGACGGCCTTGAAGCAACGGTAACCTGGGTAACGAGACAGAAGGAACAAAAAATAAGAAATTCATATCAAGAAAACACAAATTAAACTAAAATCATTGTATTTTTAAATTTTTGTGTTTTTTGTTCTTCTATGTCATATGCTTCATTATATATACGCTTCATTATATAAGACCTAAACTTTGCAACACATCCAAAGTTTAGATCTATCAACAAGTGTTGTTGGAATCCCATGTTTGGCATATGTACATGAACATGCAGTTTGAATGGATCCTGCTAGGTGCATGATTGTCCTATCTCACAGCCTTGAAAAATCCTTAAAAATCACTAGCCTGGGATCTCATTCCAGATACAAAATAAATTTCTTTGGCTGCAAACTGTTCACAAGAGCTATGATATTATTAAGTCAGAAATTGCCAACCCGAGGACCAAGGTAAAATCATCCACCAAGCTACCTTGTGGAGACTGAACTATGGAGTCATGTGACTTGATTTTAGGTCCCTGTCCTGTCACCTTGAAATGTATTGGTTGATAACAAGATTTTCTTGCTACAGGGCCATTTCTGACAGCTTCCATTTTCTCAACCAATCTGCCTCACAGCATTTGAATCTCACAAGCCATGAATACTTGAATAGATTGCATGTAGAGGCTGACCAAAGGTGTTAGTAATATATTGACAGTCTCTTTCCAGTCTATATGGCTGATGTAGTAGGATTACAGTGTAATCCTTTGATCCACCAATCTTCTTTCTAACACGATGAGGGCTTTTGCCTTGTGATGGAAAGGTGTCCCTTTTCTTCTCCTTCCACTCCAAACCTTTTATTCTTCAATGTTTAAACTATTAATTTTGGTATTCTACATAATTACATAATCTAGTTTCCATGGTATTTTCTTTGATTCACAGAATACAACAGTTCTTGACTGCTCAAAATCATATCCTGGTAATTCAACTTTACAAATAGCTTTTCCAATACATAGTAAGGCAATCAATTTTTGCTGTCATTTGATAATCTGAAGAGGTACTGTGTCCCCTGACCTTTACAGAAGGTCAAGTCAGGTGACCCATAGCCAGGTCACCCAGGTCACTCCCACTGTGACCTTGATGGACAGTTCCGTCAAGTTATGAATATTAAATGAGAAAACTAAGGAAGCTTGTATTTCCTTGTTTCCAGGTATGAAAACATAGTAAAACAGAACAGATATACTCGTACATTTGTATGTTCATGACCTCCAGTATCACCTACAAGTTCTGGCTTTCAACGGTTTAATGTGGACTGTACCAAAAAAATTTTGTGTGTTATTACAATTTCTTGTGCTTTAAAATTTCTTGTGTTATTTCAATTTCTTGGCAGAGTATGTCTTCTAGATTGTGTACATAGAGGGGATTTAATAACATAGGTCAGACCTGTTTCATCTATCATACTGAAGTATACCCTTGGCACACACTGTACACACACCATAGCACCTACTCACTCAATCTGAGCTCATCAAGCTCCATTGTGTCCATGACTTTACAGACATGAAATCATGCCAGGCCTAGGAGTATGGTGTCTGATCAATCAGAGAAAGAAAGAAAAGCTGGCTGAAATCCAACCGGATTCCTTTTTACCTTAGCCAGGTTCTGCTTTAATCAGCATTTGCCTGGCTTGGTTGGTTCGTGAGCAAGATACATGTAACTCCGAAAGTTATGAATAAATTCCATTGAATTGGCCTTGGGTTGTGAAGGAAGAGATTGAATTTAGGAATAGATGAGGCTGCCAGAACACTTCTCAGTGAATTGTATGTATAACCTGGGTGCCATCCTACATGTATTTGCATGCCAGGGGTCCCACACTCGCTCCCTAATTTTAGGCTATTGCACCTATATGGGTTGAAATGCCAGTACACCTAGCATTTTTATTATAATAAAAACAGGGGGCTGGTTCACAAAGTCACAAAGGGTATTTTCTCAAAATATATAGCCCTGCCAGTGTGTTTCCTGCCTCTTCAAAATCCACAAATTTAGCATTTACCACTTACAGCACTTCACCATATTTCAGACTTACTCTGTCACATACTGTGTTACATGTATGTTATTACATGCATGCCAGTGTGAATGCTCATCTGTATAAAAGCGATGACACCAGCATGTCAAGACTGTCCGTTGGAGCTAACAGGATTGCCTTATCACACATCGGCACCAGGTAACCTTCCGCCCTCCCATCTCACAGATTAACTGTTTATCAGTTGTCCAACCTGCAAGGTCTGTCAGCTTTGATTCCAATTCATTTTGTTACTGACACTGAGGTCTTGGTAAAAGATATTCAACATGCATACAAAGGCTTTCCTAACAGTTTTGGAAAAAACAGTTCTGGAGTGAGTTTGTAAATATTCAAAATTTGTGAAGTAAACTCTAAACAGTAATATTTCATTCCACCACATATGGTTTAGATGATTTTGGAAATACATGTAGCACTAAAGATAGCCTAACTTTTATGTTATGTGCAACCATGGCTAAATAGTATTGACAGCCCTACTCAGACATTTTGTGCCTCAAGATTTCTTTTTTTTTTTCAGGGGGTCAGAAAACAGGTTTAAGTCAATGCATTATACAGATGTCTCTCACTAACTTAATAAACAGTGTTGAGTATAAAATGATTATCACATAATGCTCACCAAAGAAGCAGTACACAATGCCGAAGAGGAAGCACATCCCACATATAACAGAGGTAGCGATGTCGTAGTCGTACGTCAGCGTATCACATCGGGTGATGTTCCCGCTGAACGTGTCCGTCGGCGAAACGGTCGAACCCGTTCGCATCATCGTCGTCAGGACGTTCTCTGGTGACGTCGCCATGGTTACCACTTGGGTCGAAGGTCACTTGAGTCTAAAACTACAGCATCACAAGCAATCTGTGAATGAGAAAAATTGGGTATTCAGAATTTACAATTATTACAAAAAAGTACATCAGCCTCGAAGTAACAGTAACAATACAAGGTATAAGTACTACTGAATATAAGGCAATGTACATATATATATATGATGCAGGGCTTCATTTAACAATTTAACCATTTAACAATTTTCCATGTCACAAGGCAAGTCAGGCAACCATACCAGTTAGGAAGAATACATTACGTAGGAAGTCGTCCAATCATACGCCTCCCTCTCTAAACTAATTTCTGTCGGCACAGTATTGATGTGTTTTCAAATCCGTGTTCTCTACTGATTTACACCATCACAGGACCTTTCTGACTGCACCACAACTCAACTGAACAATTTTCTTATCCCGAGCTGCACCCTGACATAAATAAGCCACTAAGTAACCAACCACAAGAAGCTACCATGAAAGGAGAACGTTAAATCATGTTTTCTGCTTCAAAGCTCCAGTCCTTTCATTTCCACAACCATTATTGTGATATCCTGCAAGCATTTGTCATGGTCAACTGTAAGCTTGCCGATATTGGGAGCTGGTGACAAACGGCTGAACTGAACGCTACATTCAACCCAAGGCGTTGAGCTATGCAGCGCTACAAAGCAAGCACTGGTGTAGAAAATAGTATTTGCTAGGTCTTATATTTCGGGATCATGGTCGGTTGTAATGCTTAGCATACTTTACAATCAAACACAAATATATTACAAGTTGATATGGTACTACACTTCACAATGAGTGCCCGATAAAGAGAAAAACAGGTTGATTTCCTGGTAAGACAATGGGACAAGTGATTTTGAACATGCGGTTCTAGATAGAACAAAAATCAACCTATACTATGTATGACTCACCACAACCTAGTTAGAGAATACCATACAAGGCAGAAACATCTGTAGCATACAAAAAAAGGAGGCACGATATCACTTGAACACTGAAAGGAACAAATTTGCTGGTAGTATAAATCTTGCTCATTGCTGTGTCTCCAGTATTCACACTGGTCAATACATCAGATTAAATTCTGCTGAAGAGATATGACCCGGGCCAAATCAGTCAGCGGCCTTGGATCCATAAAATGATAAATCGTAATGCTGTCCGGACCAGCAATCTGTATGCTTCCATTCCTCCATTTTGTATTCAGGTGCTCGCATGGCTAAGTGTCATCTGTCTCTGTTGGATCCAAGTTTCCTCAGCTGGAGTTGGTACTTTCATGATGCTTGAGGGATATTTTCAACTAGTTCAGCTACTTAAATGCCATGCCACATTTACGCACGAGTAAAGCCTCAAGTGAGAGCAGCAAAGAAGCCTGGCGCCATCTTATAGCGGTATTATGGCTTCCAAAGTTGATTTTGAATCCTGGTAAGTAAGAAATATAGGCAGTATTACAGTCCTGTGGAGGAGTTGTAGTTCCAGTGGCACTTAGTGTGAGTTATGGGAAGGTTTCCATTACAGGAATGGTCAACAGGGATATCCTCTCAGCACCAGGGACAGACACCGTAGCCATTTTCAGGGATTACAGGTTTTGACAAGAAGTGTCTCAGTGTCAGTTTGCATACAAAACACACAGGTCAGGTGTAGGAGGGCCAAACAATTTTGATTTTATATAAATCATTAAAAAAAACTAGAAAGCTGAGAGACTTACACTTAAGTTACAGCGATAAAAAGCTATATATAACTTTTAGCAAAATCATATACATGTAGAAAGCAGTTCAAAGGACATTGCAAACTTGTCAACAACATGAAATTGAGACAATATGATCTACAATGAATGCTATGCAACGTCTAAAAAAAGCAAAATACAAAAATTGCTCAGCACCACATTTTTACACCTCCACAACCATTCTGACCAATCCCTGAAGACAACACAAAGATGCAGCATCACTTGTAATTTCCTGTGTGAGAAGTGTTGAGAGCAACCATGTGTTTCCTCAGGCACTAGACCTCCAGTGGGAGGGGGGCACCAGACAGGTGACATTTCTATGTGGTCACATCACTCTCAAGCTAAGTCATCTTTCAGTTGCCAAGTGATCTATCTTCTGGGTCTCCAAGGCTTCTTACTTAAAATCGGTCTCTCAGGTCAACAGTGTATTTAAAAGTCAGTAGACCTCAAGGATATTTTCTCTAATAAATAATGCAAGAAGCATCATAAATAGTCTTGGGAAGACATTTCTATGTTAAGGTATCACAATGAAGCAATGTCAACATTCAGCTGCTAAAATACCAAGGATCAAAGCATTCATGTAGAAAGACTAAGTATTCAAACATGATATGGTACATTTTGTGTACCCTGAGGACATTTCCTCTTACAGATAAGAGGCATCTTTCAGTAGTATAGACAGGCTCAACGGTGCACACCCCAGTTCTTCCGCAACCGGGGTCCGTGATAGTCCGTTGTAAAAAAGTGACGAAAGGGTTTTGAGGGTCCAAGTTTGAGGTGACATTTCTTATAAACTGCCACGAAGTATCATTAAACATTAACATGGCTGAAGAGTGTAAGAAATGGTGATTTTGGGGTGAAAATTTCTTTTGGCTCCGAACCTTTCTTCCGGGTATCCTTGCGCGCCAAGTGTAATCCGCCCGTTTGACCTAGTTTTCGCTCTGTGGCTTCGTAGGGGTGGATTTGCAACCCCTCGCGCCGTGGACTGTTTAGAAAATTACAGTACTAGAATTTTCTTTATAATTTACTCGGGTATAGTCAAGGCTTGGGTCTTTCTGCCAGCATCAGTCATTTCTGCCGGAAAATTTTTTTTTGTGGGATTATCCTACGCGAAAATTCGCAATTTTGGGCATTAATTTTGGAGTGAAAATAATGTTTTTTCCGTTGATTTTACCAAACTTAAAAAGGTTGAAGAAACCAAACTCAGCTTGTCTTGTAGCTGAAGAGATACCCTTTCGTCCCATATACAGTTATTCTCCTTCCGAATTATTCCACGCCAGAGACGGTCGCTAGATTTGAGGGTGTGCAGCTTCGAAAAGAGGCCCCAAATAAACTGGGGTGTGCCCCCTTAAACAGGTCCGTCCTTAAAAAAATATTAGCTATGGCAGCCAACAAATTGCATTTCATCCAGTAAAGTATATCCTTTACCCAATCATGGCGAAAAAATTTTGGATTTCGCAAGTTTTAATATGATTATAGAATGTCATATAATGCGCTGATTTGCCCCCCTCCCCACGCCCCCCCCCCTTGAACACGGTCAAACCGACTTCGAAGTGTGTCTACTAAAGATCGATGACGTCATATCTACCGCGATTTCATTATTTGCATTGCCCTACCCCTGGGGCACCTGGAAACTGCGTATGTACGTGTGCCAGGCGCTCCAGCATTAAGGAGGAGACGTTTTTAATTAAAAAAAGGCCATGATGACGTCATTCCCCTACTTTCCTGTCAAATCTAGTTTCAAGTTCGGCCTATCACGAGATTTCAACTTTCAGACAAATAAGTTGCAATAATCGGAAGATACATCCTCCTGCTTTTATATCTCATCGAGACCGACACCAAACTGTACAGGCTTCTCTCAGCAGATGGCCATTTATACCGTCCTAGCTGCTAGAAGGACGCCACAGGCCTACAATCTAACCAAATGTCCAACATTAAGCTTCGTTTTCCTGCAAAACAAAATGAATCTCCGCAGCGGAAACACTTGGGTAAGATCCCTTGGCTTGTTCTCTACCGGGTATGACCAAAAATTTCAATATCAACTGCTTCCTGTCAACGTACAGAACTTAAAACCATAGCGATCTCACTTAAAAAGTTCGGCTAGAGGAGGGCATTGTGACGTCATCAGCTAAACTACATTCTGGGTGGTTTATACCGTTTATTTCAGTCAGAACTAGAAGGAAAACCTACTCCATCGCAAGAACAGCCCTCTAGCATTCCTTTACATGGCAAAATCTGTTTATTTAGCATGGTTTAATGCGCTAAAGCCCGTTCCAAAGGAACGGCCCATTGTGACGTAATTCCCATTATGTGCGTGAATGGAACACAC